TGCCAAAGGGAATTTCACTTCCAAGCTAAAACTTTCAATTTATTTACAAACACTACACTTACAAGTTTTAATCTTCTCCTGAAGATGCTAACATAGTTAGCGAAACACGTGTCGAGGCGTTAAAAAAATCGGTTTAGTTAGTGGTAAAACAGAGTAGTGTACAAACACTGTTGAAATATATCGTTAGAATACGGGAATGCTGTGAAAACTTCCTTGGACAGGCACTTGTTTTCTCTGCGTATATGTTGGGCAATTGCTGTGAAGGTATGGAAGAATATAAAAAATATGACAGTGAAAACTGAAGAACACATCAGGGGGAAGTAATTCATTATGATACTTACTTGAGCTGGGCATGTCATAAGATAAACCTTCTTTCAAGAATCAATGGATAACAGACACTTTTGTGCAAACCTGACACGTCTGGAGTTCGAATAGCTTGAAGCTCCATGCTGGCAACTGATAGATAAAAATGAGGAGAGTTATTTTGTGTTTGGCGTAAATGAGACGACAGCGCGCTCGCTGAAAAGTTGAAAAAATTACCTGAATTCCGCCTTGATCCCAGACTCATAAGTATACATCCAGAAGGCTATAGATCCATCAGTACTCGTACTTATCAAGTACCTCACACCCCAACAAGCCGTAGGGCAGAAATTTACCAAGGTGATCATGCCGTTGTGGCCTGTCTATGGAGTCGTGGCCAACAATTATACAGATTTTTGCCCCCGATTTCGACAAGCTTTCGATATAAACGAGTTACAATGAGTTTGGCAATGTACTGATGATCCGTAATCGAAAATTAAATTTTGGATTGCTGCGCGTTTCTGTATAACCCTGACTCACGCGTCAAGAAAAAAATAGCAAAAAAACTTCTTCCCTTCCTGGAAAAAGGGGTGGCGTTGGTATGCAGAAATTGTAGCGCATTTTAGGAAAAACTGTCAGGTTATTGAAATTGTATCTGATTGGAATATATTTCTATGAAAGAACATTCATTTCTACAAATCTTGGGATCGATATACAATAATCGGGTTAATCTATTCACCTCTTTTGTTCAGGAAACATTCTTATTTGATTTAACTTTCGAATATTTTATGTGTTGATCAATTCTCTCACAATGATTCCGCAGGTTATCCTCATCATTCGCGATGTCCTTCATTTTTCCGTGTTTGGCGAACAGACTATAATAATGATCTATAATTGAAAATGCCTGAGGGAATCTCACTTCCAAGCAAAAACTTTCAATTCTTTTACAAACACTGTGTTGAAATATATCGTTAGAATGCGGGAATGCTGTGAAGACTTCCATGGACAGGCACTTGATTTTTCTGTGTATATGTTGGGCAATTGCTGTGAAGGTATGGAAAAATATATAAAAATATGACAGTGAAAATCTGAATAACACATTAGGAGGAAGTAATTCATTATGCTACTCACTTGAGCTGGCGCTTGTCATAAGATTAACCTTCTTTCAAATATCAATGGATAACAGACACCTTTGTACAAACCTGTCACGTCTGGTGTTCGAATAGCTTGGAGCCGGATGCTCGCGACTGTCAGATAAAAATGGGGAGAGTAATAAGACGTGTTTGGCGTAAATTATACGACAGCGCGTCCGCTGAAGGGTTAAAAAAATTACCTGAATTCCGCCTTGATCCCAGACTCATAAGTATACATCCAGAAGGCTATAGATCCATCAGTACTCGTACTTATCAAGTACCGCACGCCCCAGCAAGCCGTAGGGCAGAAATTCACCGAGGTGATCATGCCGTTGTGGCCTGTCTATGGAGCCGTGGCCAACAATCATATTCATGTCACAGGTTTTTGCCCCCGATTTCGACAAGCTTTCGATATAAGCGACTTACAATACGTTTGGCACTCGACTAATGATCCGTAAACAAATATTAAATTTCGGATTGCTGCGCTTTTCTTGATAAACCTGACTGACGCGTCAAGAAAAAACTAGCAAAGAAACTTCTTCCCTCCGTGGAAAAAGGGGTAGCGTCGATAGGCAGGAATTGAAGCGGATTAGAGGAGAACTGTCAGGTTATTGAAATTGTATCTGATTGGAATATATTTCTGGAAAAGAAGATTCAATTCTACAAATTTCGGAATCCAAATACAATAATTGGGTCAATCTGATTACCTACCTCTTTTGTTCAGCAAACATTCTAATTTGATTGAACATTCGAATATTTCATGTGTTAATCAATTCTCTCGCAATGATTCCACAGGTTATCCCAACTATTCGCGATTTCCTTCGTTTATCCCTGTTTGGCGAACAGACTACAATAGTGATCCATAAGTGAAAAGGCCAAAGGGAATCTCACTTCCAAGCTAAAACTATTAATTCATTTACAAACACTGTGTTGAAATATATCGTGAGAAAGCAGAAATGCTGTGAAGACTTATATGGACAGGCACTTGTGTGAATGACGTTTTCTTTACGTATATGTTGAGGAATTGCTGTGAAGGTATAAAATGATATACAGAGTGGGCCGTTGAAAACGAAACAGAGGCTAAGTAGGTCGCCAAAACCGGATTATAAAAAAAATCTGAAACACGTCAACTATATTTTCGAGGAGGACATCGTTCTAAAATATTTTCAGCCCTGCGGCGTTGCCGCTTCTAGAGAAAAGAAGCAACAACTTTGTTATTTCAAATGGAACACCATGTATTTTATTGTATTTTTAGATTCTCCTCGAAGAGCTGATTTCATCAATGTATCACACTTGGGGTCCAGCTGTAATGGTTTCAGGGATATAAAGTGTTCAAAATCGAGATTTTTCAACTTTAGCATTTTTTTGTGTCGAAACTATTCATTATTGGTCAAAACGGCTTTCATGTCCCTATCTCAACTTGTGATTTACTATCTACTAACATTTAATTGGAACAGATACAGCGTGATCAGAATTCTGAATCTTGAACCACCCTGTATTTGTTTCAAATAAATGTCAGTAGATAGTAAATCACAAGTTGAGATAGGGACATGAATGCCGTTTTGACCAATAATGAATAGTTTCGATACAAAAAAATGCTAAAGTTGAAAAATCTCGATTTTGAACACTTTATATCCCTGAAACCATTACAGCTGGACCCCAAGTGTGATACATTGATAAAATCAGCTCTTCGGGGAGAATCTAAAAATACAATAAAATACATGGTGTTCCATATGAAATAACAAAGTTGTTGCTTCTTTTCTCTAGAAGCGGCAACGCCGCAGGGCTGAAAATATTTTAGAACGATGTCCCCCTCGAAAATATAGTTGACGTGTCTCAGATTTTTTTTATAATCCGGTTTTGGCGACCTACAGAGCCTCTGTTTCGTTTTCAACGGCCCACTCTGTATAACAATATGACAGTGAAAGCTGAAGAACACATTAGTAGGGAGTAATTCATTATAACAAGGTAACAAGGTACACAACGTACCGCGAGAATCATTGAAAACGTAGAGCGAATGAGGGAGTCGCTCATCAGAAGTCTTTCACGTTCCGCCCGAAAACATGTTAAGGAGCTGAATATCGACTGGGAATCGGTTTGGAGAATCTTGCATTCGAATTAAAAAATTCCACACTCACAAACTACAGAAGCTCGCGAAGATTTCGCTACGAGAATGCAAATAATTTCCGATGACAATGTAGGCCTGCAGCTTTTAATGAGCGACGAAGCTCATTTTCATCTAGATGGAACAGAACTTCAGGTACTGGGCTCCTGAAAATCCACGAAATATCCATGAACGACCTCTTCATTCTGCAAAAGTTACAGTGTGGTGTGCCATCGCTTCTAATTGCATTATTTGTCACTATTATTTCGAAGAGGCCGGGCGTACATTCACCGTTAATTTCAACGGCTACGTTCAAATGATCCAAAAATTTTTCATGCCAGAACTATCAAAATGAGGAGTGTTATTTATTAGGCGTGTTTATCGTAAATTATATGACAGTGCGCCCACTAAAAAGTGAAAGGAAATCACCTGAATTCCGCCTTGATCCCAGACTCGTAAGTATACATCCAGAAGGCTATAGATCCATCCGTACTCGTACTTATCAAGTACCTCACGCCCCAGCAAGCCGTAGGGCAGAAGTTCACCAAGGTAATCATGCCGCTGAGGCCTGTCTATGGAGCCGTGGCCAACAATCATAGTCATGTCACAGGTTTTTGCCACCGATTTCGACAAACTTTCCATATAAACGACTTACAATACGTTTGGCACTCTACTGATGATCTGTAGACGAAAATGAAATTTCGGATTGATGCGCTTTTCAGGATAACCCTGACTCACGCGTCAAGAAAAAAATAGCAAAACAACTTCTTCCCTTCGTGGAAAAAGGGGTGGCGTTGGTAAGCAGAAATTGTAGCGGATTTTAGCAGAACTGTTAGGTTATTGAAATTGTATCTGATTATATTTCTCTGGAAAAAGACCAATTATTTCTACAAATCTTGGGATCCATATACAATAATTGGGTTAATCTATTCACCTCTTTTGTTCAGGAAACATTCTTATATCATTTAACTTTCGAATATTTCATGTGTTGATCAATTCTCTCGCAATGATTCCGCAGGTTATCCCCACCATTCGCGATGTCCTTCATTAATCCGTGTTTGGCGAACAGACTGTAATAATGATCTATAAGTGAAAATGCCAAAGGAAATCTCACTTCCAAGCTAAAACTGTCAATTCATTTACAGACACTGTGTTGAAATATGTCGTGAGAAAGCGGGAACGCTGTGAAGACTTCCATGGACAGGCACTCGATTTTTCTGGGTATATGTTGGGCAATTGCTGTGAAGGTATGAAAAAATATATAAAAAAATGACAGTGAAAATCTGAAGTACAAATTAGGAGGAAGTAATTCATTATGCTACTTACTTGAGCTGGCGCTTGTCATAAGATTAAACTTCTTTCATATATCAATGAATAACAGACACCTTTGTACAAACCTGTCACGTCTGGTGTTAGAATAGCTTGGAGCTCGATGCTCGCCCGCTGAAGGGTTAAAAAATTACCTGAATTCCGCCTTGATCCCAGACTCATAAGTATACATCCAGAAGGCTATAGATCCATCCGTACTCGTACTTATCAAGTACCTCACGCCCCAGCAAGCCGTAGGGCAGAAATTCACCGAGGTGATCATGCCGCTGTGGCCTGTCAGCACTGCCACCGGAGCCCCAGTCTGCACGCTCCACACGCGCAGGATCCTGTCGATGGAGCCGGCGGCCAACAGGGTGTTCTCCGAATTGACGGCGATGTCGGTGATCTCCGAGGAGGCGCCTCGGAAGACGGCTATGAGCCGGCCGGTGCAGGCCGACCATAGTTTGATCAGCAAGTCGTCGGCTCCCTGGAATCAGCAAATTTTCAACATTCAATTTGACAATTTTTTTTGATGTATGATAAATTGATATCCATCATAGAGGATGTAGAAAGAAATTCTGAATTGAGAAAACCTAATCACGAATCTGCGACTGAGGTCTATAATAATAACAAGTTTCCATCGGCCAAGTTTAAACCCCTTGATTGGGTGAAACTGTTGAAAAGGAATGTACTCAGATTTATATATGAACTAAAAAAAAATTAATATACAGGGTGATTCACCATAATTGTCCCCCCCTCTAGCTCACTTATTTTTGACCCGATTTAAAAATTTGAAGGATGATCTAAAATGATTTCTCAGAATTTTTTTTCCCGTTGCATCAGGAAATACAGGGTGCTCGGAACAAATGATATACAGAGTACTACTCGATTTTTCCAAATGGAACACCCTGTATTTCATTGTATTTTTAGATTCTTCCTGAAGAGCTGATTTCATCAATGCATCACACTTGGGGTCTAGCGAGAATGATAACAGAGATATAGGGTGTTCAAAATCGAGATTTTTCAAGTTTAGGATTCTTTTGTCTCGAAACTATTCATTATTGGTCAAAACGGCTCCTATGTTTCCATCTTAATTTTTGATTAACTGTCTATTGAGATTTGATTGGAACATTTACAGGGTGGTTCAAGATTCAGAATTCTGATCACCCTGTATCTGTTCCAATTATTAAATGTCAGTAGATAGTAAATCAAAAGTTGAGATATGGACATGAAAGCCGTTTTGACCGATGATGAATAGTTTCGTCTCAAAAAAATCCTAAAGTTGAAAAATCTCCAGTAATTGATGTCCTGAATGGGGTACTCCTCTTAGCATTTACATCCAAATTTGAGGTCTGGTTTTGTATTTCAGTTTTTTTCTCAAAAACGGAGCGTTCTATGGAGTATCAACGAGAGGATCTTTCTTGTACAGAATTGAATGGCCTTTCATGGGATTGTATGAAATTCGAAAATTTTCCTTCGTTGCTCACTTCAAGTGAAATATAAACAATAATACCAAACGGCGCCACTGGTAGAGAAAATGAAAATTTGTGTTAATCAGAAAATGCACCTCGATGCATAAAAGACATGTAGGTACCAAATTTGGTAAAGATTATCTCTGTTTTTATCAAAAAACTGATTTTTGTTCAAAACTCTATCGCCTTGTATCTCAAAAGTTGAGACATTCAAGACATAGGTTCATAGGGAGTTTGTATTTTAAAATGAGTCGAAGAATCACCCCCTTTAAAATTAGCATGTCTTTAAGGAACACCCTGTATACAGTGTGTCCCACTTACCATGCTCACCATGGGTATCTTTTTAACGGTGAGAGATACGAGGTCGGTTAAATGACACCAAATGTGGAGTTTGTCAAGGCCAACTATAATGTGAAAAAATATTCTGATGAAATCTATTCGTTTTTGTTTTAAACGCAAAAAACAGATTTTGATCATTTTCATGTCTCCTCCGCAACTTCTTTATTTATGAAAATTTTCAAATAGGAATTTCACATTCTCATGGCAGTTTTTCTGAGTGATTTCGAAAAAAATATGAAATTTATACCAACTCTTTCAGAATTTGAGATATCAGCACCAACTTTAGTTTTTCGAATGTAGGTGTGTTGATAACAACGGAGTTATCATCATTTATACAAAAACAAAAAATTATTTGGAGGCCGCCATCTTGAATTTATAAAATTTAACAAAAAAATCATGATCTCCGACCTAAAAAAAACCCCACTCACCAATTTTGAATGGAATCGGACCAAATCTTGTCCGCCATCTTGGAGCAGCCATTTTTTTTTTTATTCAACAAAAGTTCCATAATGTATTGTCACTGGATTTACGAACATTTCGGTGGAAATACATCATGGAATTTTTGTTGAAATTAAAAAAAAAATGGCTGCTCGAAGATGGCGGACAAGATTTGGTCCGATTCCATTCAAAATTGGTAAGTGAGGGTTGTAGAGGTCAGAGATCATGATTTTTTTGTTAAAATTCATAAATTCAAAATGGCGGCTTCCAAATAATTTTTTTGTTTTTGTATAAATGACGATAACTCCGTTGTTATCAACACAAAACTATTACTGCGATATATCATCTGAAAGAGGAAAAAAAGTTATTTGTAACTTAGTCATAGTGAGGTATGACCTACATTTGAAAAACCAAAGTTGGTGCTGATATCTCAAATTCTAGAAAAGTTGGTATAAATTTCATATTTTTTTCGAAATCACTTTGAAATACTGCCATGAGAATGTGAAATTCCAATTTGAATATTTTCATAAATGAAGAAGTTACGGAGGAGACATGAAAATGATCAAATAAATCTGTTTTTTGCGTATAAAACAAAAACGAATAGATTTCATCAGAATATTTTTTCACATTCTAGTTGGCCTTGACAAACTCCACATTTGGTGTCATTCAACCGACCTCGTTTCTCTCACCGTTAAAAAGATACCCATGGTGAGCATGGTAAGTGGGACACACTGTATACAGGGTGGCCCACGGTCGATGGTACCTTAGACGTATACGGAAAACGGTACATTGGATTATCCTGAAAATTTGGTTACTCTAATGAGCGTTTGTGATCTAACGATTCAAAATATTTTCAGCGATGCAGCGTTGCCACTTTTACCAAAAAGTAGCATCATCTTTGTTATTTCAAATGGAACACCCTGTATTTCATTGCGTTTTTAGATTCTTCTCGAAGAGCTGATTTCATCAATGTATCACACTTGGGGTTTAGCAGGCATTATTACAGAGATATAGGGTGTTCAAAATAGAGATTTTTCAATTTCAGGAATTTTTCGTGTAGTATTCATTATCGATCAAAACGGCTTACATGTCCCTATCTTAACTTTTGATTCACTATCTACTGACATTTAATTGGAACAGATACAGGGTGATCAAAATTCTGATTCTTGGCCCACCCTGTATTTTTTCCAATTAAATGTCTGTAGATAGTGTTTCAAACAACCATGTTGCCGTACGGTGGTAACTTCTCAGAGGTCGGATTGAAAACTTCCAGTTTTTTTTTCCAGAAAGATATTCCCTTCAGAAATATTTTCTGTATCGTGTTGATTTTTGATAAGTCTCGAGGTTCATTTGCAAATAAATAATTTCTGATATGATGCATCCTGCGCATTTTTCAAAATTAATCTAATTAGTCAGACTGTTTATTGATCATGGCTACAGTGTATTCTTATTGTCAACAAACTGATATGTTCCTGGTCCTCGCGGGCTTTACAAGAACTTTCGCGATAGGAATTTAGCAATAACTATTCAGTACCTAAGGTGAGCACTCTAAAGCCTTGTACCAACTCAACGAAACGATTTTGGATATAGGTAAGTTGGCTCAAATCAACTTATTTTTATCGCAGGTGTCTACAGCCGACCCGTCCCAACCTTTTACAGAAACCCTGTATATTTCACCAAGTAGAACAAGGAAAAATATTTTTTCTACAAGCGTGCGTGATTCACTATTTACCCGCACGCAATTTAGTTTAGAAAGTGTAATTTTCCCGCAACACTGCGGGAACATTTTTCCCACACTAGTGCGGGAAAAACGAATACATGATAATATGGCAAAATATAAGTGATAGGTGATGAAATATGAGAGTTTGAGTTTGTTTGTTGCAGTATTAAGTATGTATGTTCAGAATTATCCATCAAATTGTGAGATTTATTGTGAAAATTAAGGTATATTGAAAAATAAAAATTGATCATTATAAAAATTGAAATGATGATGGGACATATACCGGGTGATCAAGATTATGAATTCTGCACCACCCTGTATTTGTTTCAATTAAATGTCAGTAGATAGTTGATCAAAAGTTGAGATAGGGACATGTGAGCCGTTTTGACCAATTATGAATGGTTTAGACACAAAAAATTCTTGAACTTGGAAAATCTCGATTTCTCACACCCTATATCTCAGTAATTATAACTGCTAGACTCCAAGTATGATGGATTGTTGAAATCAGCTCACCAGGGAGAATCTCAAAATGAAATAATGTATAGGGTGTTCAATTGAAAGAAGTTCAACTTTTTGTGTGTTTTGTGATTTTTGGGGACATCCTGTATGTTTCAAAATGATTTCAAATGGTAGCCTATGTTGACATGCAACTTCCTAGAGGAAGAATTCCAAGAAGATAAGTGGTTAGCCTTCTAGAGACCGAGACGTTACTGGTGGCCCACCCTGTATATACCAAATCATTAATTTGAAGAGGCTGTCTAACCTGAGGTATACACTAACTTGTATCAGGAGAAATGATATTCATCATCATAATACAAGACATAACAATGATTTGGAACCATACAAGTATGTACAAAATTTTCTCCAATGCTGTAATAATGTAATATAATAAATTTTTTTTATTGGTTCAATAAAGATCTCTCTCTCTCTATGTTGTGTATTCATCAACAATCTTTATTGTGCCATTCTCTACTTCTTTTCAGTTTGACTATCTATAATAGCATATTCCTTTAGTTTTGTAATTTACTATTTATTTAAAGGTATGCTTTGCATTTATCAAGAGTCATTTTCAGGAAATTTTGGTACAACTAGAGGAGGAGCTTCATTGTGCTGCTTTTTCCAATAACTTAATCATTCAAATGGAATTGACTAGATACTCACAGTCATTATGTATTTTCCTGAATGATCAAATAATAAACAGTATACTGCTGAGAGATGTCCAATTGTGATTCTCTGGATCTGTAGAGCACTGTATAACTTTGGTGTTATTGTTCTATGTCTGGAAAGTGGTCCAGACACTTCTCTTCCCCTTATAGAATTTACTGCAATGAAAAATAGTTCAATAAAAATGATAATAACACAAATTATCTACATTACCAATATTCAGAGAAACATTCAAATTTTGCACAGGAGCTGAATGCCTTCTTGTAGCATGGTTGAAATATTGTTTGAAATTTGTTAAAATTCCATTTTCATCACACAAATTTGGTCTGAAGCTCAGAAAGGATCTGCTTGTGCTGGCAAAACTATTATCAAATGACTTTGATGCCAGAGAACACAAATGTAATAAATAATCTGGACGAATGTTTGGGAATTGGTTAACCATGTCTTCCACAGTGCGCTCATGTTCATTTCCTTCCCAGTCAATTCTTCTTGGCAATATCTGGAAACAATTAAATTGAGCAAGCCATACATTATTACATCCTAGTACTTTCAGAGGTGTTATCTCAGGACACTCACATTATTTTCCTCAAGTTCCTCATTGAATACCTGAAACATTTAGAGAATTGGGTAAATGAACGTAATTAAATGAATGAGACAACAAACCATCAACGTCCTCTTCAGCAGACCAGAAGACAGGAACTTTTGAATTAAAAAGTAAACATCTGAAAGATAACATAAACATAACTAAAATACTTCTTTGATAATGCGAAATCGATATACCTGACTCGAGGCTTGTACTTTTGTCTCTTTCCATTGTGCATATCAAGTTCTTAAATAAATTATATAGGTAGTTGTTTGTTCTAGAGAAATTTTATAACAATCACTAGACCAAACACTTCAATATTTACATTTTTCTTTGAGGTTACCATAATACCACCACAAAACACAGAACTTGAGTATTGAGATTGTACTTCTTTGACGGAACAGAACATTCATAATTGACAGATGTGCGCGATGTTGCCGGCCAGTAAACTCTCAACTCTCAACGCATCGAATTCCTAAGTGGATCGCGGCAGGATTCTGTCGATGTTCACTGGCGCTGCAGCTTCTGCTGATGGTTGCCGCTGCTGCCCAAGGATTATAAACTCTAGAAGGATTGCCAGATTCCGCAAAATCTTCTGCCGTGGTCACGTGATAGGGTATCAGAACTACGTCATCACTTTTAACGCAATATGGCCGTCAAATTGGAAAATTATTTTTATTTATTGTATTTATAAAATATCTCAAATACTGAAATTCAGGGACATGAACTAGAATAATCAACTCTGGGCGTAATTGGAAGGTAATCGTTGAATGGTCTTTAATAAGGCTCACAGGTTAGTGATTCAGATAATTATTATGTAATGTAATATTTTTGTTGCACAAATTACGAAAATGCATTTATTCATTGAAGTTTTTGGTTGTTTTAGATACTCTCAATAATAATGGGAAACCGAAGAATATTACATGGAAAAAATATGATCCATTTCATCAACTGATGATATCAGTAGACTTGGGATCATTGAGAATGCTAAGCAGGTATGTTAAACAAATATTTCTCTTCATAGTATAATTTTATCTTTGCTCTCATGTTTCAGTGAACTAGAAATAGATCTTTGACAGAGGAAGATGTATTGAAAGCTGATGGTCATTAAATATGTAGAGTAGATGAAGCAATAGCAAACATTAGCTCTTGGACAGCCTACTGTACTACTATATACCAAGATATAGTTAAACAATCCTCTAGTTCTACAGTTCACTACTCCAGCATAATCTTTGCGAGGTAGTGAACATATAATTTGTACTAAAAAGGCTCAATATATTCCACCAAAAGAGACTGTTCTAAGACTGTATACCAGGGTTGACTGAATTGACTGAATGAATTCTAATTTCAAGCTGAGCGTAGTAGTTTAAGTGCTGAATCAGCTGAGCCTTATGATTGAGAAATGGTGAATACTGTACACATATCAGGTGTGTGCTGAATATATTTTCGGAAATTCAACTCGAAGAAAAATTTATGGAGTGACTAATTCTAGGACGAAAAGTAGGCTTATAAAAGTAGTAGTAGTAGTATTGTGGGGAGGCTGTAGCCAGGCAAGTAGGCCCCCATGGGCCCTTTTTGCCAACCCCTGCTCTCCACATACCTACACATCCCTCTTTTAGTTGTCCTTTTCGAACCGTCCCGTCCTTCTGATGAAGGTCAGGATGTCCGTCCACTCTAATTCGACCAAATCTTCCTGTTGTAGTTTATCTACTCCAAAGATTTCGAATCTCATCCTTCCATACGCCTCACACTCTCCGAGGAAGTGAAGTGATGTCTCCTCATCTTCTCCGCATTCGCGGCAAGTGGGACTATCTTCCACACCTATGAGTGATAGGTGCCTGCGTAACCTGTTGTGCCCTGTCAGTATCCCTATAAGAAGGCGCAGGACTTGGCGATCCCTGCCCAGTAACCAAGCCGTCTTTGGCTTGCTTGGACCGGCCACCAGGTCTCTCGATTGCCTGCAGCCGCCTATACGTCTCCAATATACTTCTAGTGCCTCGTCCGCCCATTTGTTAAGGGCAGACGAAGTTTGGCTTCTTGTTATGCCCAGTGCAGGCTCCGGCCCCCAGAACGGTGTCGCGGATCCGATTCTGGCCAGCCCGTCGGCCACCTCGTTCCCGGGCACCCCCCTGTGCCCCGGAACCCATACTAGTTCGACTTCCTTCTGTTCAGCTAGTTTCTCAAGAGCATCGCCACATTCCTGCACCGAAGCTGAGCTTGGTTTAGGATGGCAGACAGCCCTGAGAGCCGCCTGACTATCCGAGCAGATGTAAATCTTCTGCTCTGGCCCCTCTTTCACCTCTTGCCTCTCCGCTACTGCCAGAATGGCAAAGACCTCAGCCTGGAAAACTGTGGTATACTTTCCAAGAGCGTAGCTCTCCCTTATGCCTATTCCTTCTAGGTAAATTCCTGCACCTGAGTCCTGTTTGTCAGTTAGGCGCGATCCGCCCGTATAACATACTAGACTCCCTGGGCGGAATTCCACTCTGTTCTCTTCCCATTGTTTCCTGCTTGGAATAGTGAGGGTGAACCTTCTATTCCATCTCAGCCTATTTTGGGCGTTCTTTACTATTAGGGTGGAGATAGAGGGATCTCCTGCTCCACCCATGTCGCAGTTTCCGCGTGACCTGTCTCTGCTCCTCCTTTAGCCCAAGTCCCAGAGTCCTGCATCCTCAGATAGGCCGCCATTGCTTCCCTCTTAATCCAGATTGGAAGCGCGGCGGCAGCCCCAGCAATACCTCCAGGCCATTCTCTGAACTTTACTAAGCTTTCTACTAATTGTGCTGGTTTCTGCACCTGGCCACCACACAGCTGATCCATACTGAATCTTTGGTCTCACGACCGCTGTGTATAGCCAGCGCATAATCTCGGGGTTTCATACCCCAAGTTCTCCCAACCACCCTCCTCAGTTGCCAAAGAATTGCCACCGACTTTTGCACTATCCTATCTACGTGTAGCCTCCATGAGTGTCTTGAGTCCAAGACGACCCCTAGGTATTTGACCTGTTGGACTAACTCCAACTCTTGGCCAAACATAATAGGTGGTTTGAACCCGTCCTTTTTCCTTCGGTTGGTGAATAGGATAATTTCTGTTTTTGTCGGATTGACAGAGAGCCCCGCTTCATCACACCATCTTTCCATTATCCTGCAGGCTACCTGCATACGCTCACAGACAACCCCTAGGAACCGGCCGTTCACCAGAACCAATCCGTCGTCTGCGTATGCCTGTGCCTCGAAGCCTCCTTGGGTAAGCCTGCACAAGAGTTCATCCATGACCAAGCACCATAGGTGGGGAGAAAGGCAGCTTCCCTGGGGACAGCCCCCATCAACCACCGTACTCAGTCTATGGTCTCCCTGAACTACTTCTACCTTTCTACTAGTCAGTGACGACACTACCCAGCTGACCATTGCCAGAGGAGTTCCTCTGGCCTGTAGTGCTGCTTGTATAGTGTCTGTCCTTGCCTTGTCGAAGGCTCCCTCTATGTCGAAGAACACCCCCAGCGTTACCTCTTTGAATTCTAATGTCCTTTTGATACTTCGCATTACAGCATGGAGGGCCGTTTCAGTCGACCTCCCCTCTCTGTATGCATGTTGGTTCCTGTGGAAGGGGCTCGCCATCAGGGGCCCCTCTAGCAGGAACCTGTCCATCACCCTCTCCAGCGCTTTGAGCGGGAAGGATGTTAGACTAATGGGTCTGAAAGACTTTGCTACTGTGTAGTCCTTTTTTCCCATTTTTTGGGATAAAGACTACTCTTGCTGATTTCCAGGCTGTTGGAACATATCCCAGCGCCATACTAGCGCGGAAAATCTCTCCCAATACCGGGGTGATTTATATAGTCCCAGGCCCCTCTGAAGCATTGCCGGAAAAATTCCATCAGGACCTGCTGCCTTAAATGGTTTGAACCATAGAAATGATATTATATAAATATATATAATATGATTTCTATGGATCTGACAAGGCACCGCCCACAATTCGTGCGCTGGGTTGTCACGACGTTTACCCTTAAATATCCTCTAGTGTGAATTGATATAATAATATTGATATTAACACAAATGTATTATATATAAACAATAAGCCACAACTGATGAGGGAATATTTTGAGACATTTGATTTTTATGTCTTATGAGGAATATAACCAATACAAAATTGAGACTTTATGAATTATTGAATTTCCAATATTCCATAAGTTCCAATCGTATTTCAACCTATGGCAACTGTGCTATGGTCTGTCCCTACTTACGAAATCGTGACGTCATTTTTTACTCGCGGTAAATTTTAAGCCGTTTGAAAATTACCATGGCATTATTGTTGATCTCAGCATCTTGAAATCGAATGAATAATTCTAAAAATATATGAAATTGAAAGTTATTCGAGTGATGATTCTATCTAGGAAATAAAAAAGTCAACTCGCCTATTTCATTTTTGTGGATGGTTTCATGGCTGTTAGCAAGCAGTGTATATCACTGAAGATGACGACTCCACTTGGTCATATATAGTGTGTACTCTCAGTATATATCTACCGTTCCTGCCAATTTCAGAATCCTAACTAAACAAATACGAAAGATACAGGGATGCTTCCATTGAAAGTGAGATATAGGTACTGTGCAATGTTCATCTTGAGTCAATTCTGATCTCCAAATCTCTTCATCTCGAGTTTCATCCTCAAAATGATCCTGAGATTTTGAAAATCGGTTTGGAAGGTAAAAAGTTATGACTGCAAAACCTAAAAGTTAATTTTTCGATATCACTCTGTAATTAAACGGGAAAATAAGACAATTCGGAAAATGTCTCAAGGTAATCTGTTGTCAAAGTTGAAAAAAGGAAGTTTTCGTTCATTTGGGATCCTTTTGAAAATTCAAAAATTCTTCACAGTTTCAGGTTTCACCCTGTAGCGAGTTTATATGAAGAACCTCATGTTTCAAAGAAGTACGGGCAAATAGGTGGGGGACTGGACTAGCAAACAGTGTGAACCAAATTCAAATTGTCCAAAGCAGGAAAAAAGTTATTCAAAATTAAAATTTTATGACTAATCACCTTATCCAGGAATGCGGGCTGGATATAAATATAATATACCATAGGAAATGATACAATCAGTATACAGGGTATTCCGAGACAAATTTCCAATCTGAGTATATATGGATAATAATCGTTTGACAATTCGTGTGTGACCACTTTAAAGATATTTTGACGACTTCGAAAATTTCTCTGTGAAAATTGGCAGTTGCGGTATCTAGCCTAGCACAGTCAGCGATACGGATTGACAAATTTTCTTCGGGTTTGTTCCAATCGCATACATTTCTCACAAAAAATACGTATATGTATATGAAACTGAATCAAAGGAGTATCACTCTAAGATTTCT